TTATCCTTCGTTGACATGGTATCTAAAGAGGAGCTTGACTAGCGATTACAAGAAGAAACAGAGAGAGTTCAAGCTCATCTCAGTCAAGAGCACAAGGCAGAGATGTAAAAGATGCGTGAGGAGTTCGATGTCAAGTTTCAACAAGCTATGATGATGATGGGCACAATCGGATTCCAAATATCCTAATTGTTTGAACCATTGCAAGTAATAATCACATATCTTCTTAAATCTTCTCAATGTTCATTTCATCAATTTAAACTTATTTAATGTGCCTGAAGTAATTTCTTTCTATGTTTCAGGGTTCACCTATGATTAAAAGTGGAAAGGGCAGTAATAATCAGATGTAACAGCTAACAATGTCTGACCTTGACCTTAGCCCTGACCTTGCCTAAGATAATGAACTACCGCGTGCCCTCTATGTGGACCTTGAAGATTAATTTCTTCATGTCGCTAATGGTCAAGCATTCTTATGCACAACGATCCACTGCAAGAAAGTTCCAAAGCATCAAGTGAGGATGACAGTGGATAAGGTCCATAGTGGATAAGCTGGTATACCAATGCCCAACCCTATTGATGCGGTTCAACTATTAGCTCAAGCTAAAGGAAATTTCATTTTGTGGCCAAATAAACTTGTTGGAAAGTCAATAGTAGCAATAAAGAAAGGGATGAAAAAGGTGAGAAAGAGCATTGATCCTACCCTTCAACCTCTTCCTACTCACATTAGGGTTATGTATGGAAGTTTGGCGCTTCTTCATTCTATAGTAGAAAATATGGAGAACCCTTTTACTTTCAATATGCTGCTGGGAATTGTAGGTTCAGATGTAACATACGACTTCACCATTAACAAGAAGGACTTCATTCAGTTCCTTAACTTTGAGGAGCTAGATATAGTCTTCATGTAGTTGGATATTTTGTAAGTTATAATATCATTTTCTTATTTCATGTTATACTTATATATGTGCCAATGTTTCTTATTTGAACAACAGATACTTTACTCGCATCTATCGGCATAGAGGACTTGAGGGTGCATATGGCTTTATGTGTGCTAATGGGCAGATTCATTCATTTGCCTCCCTTTCATTCTGCCACCATTTCATGGCTCGTTTACGGATAGATTTTCCTCTTAACTCGCAATAATTTTGCATGATTAATTCTTTTCTTGCATGTTATCATTCCAACAATCCATAAACTATCCCATACATTATTATAGTCAATTATACATGCCATTATTATCATTTGTCATCACACCACTTACATCATGCCTTGCCATATGTTTCATAATTAAACTACTTAGCTTATAATTTTGCCATTCGTAACTTGATTAAGCTATATGTGCTGTGTCACATCTTGCCAATTTTAACCATGGGAAGATGAATAACAAATTAGATAGAGGGTCAAACAGTAAAGTAGACTTAGAGTCAGAATCACTTTTGAGTTAAGATCTAACTCTTGTTCGGATTGATACTTTTAAAACTATTAGTCCAAGAAGGCCAAAATAGAAAAATTTGAGAAAAATTTCAAAAAATTCTTATAAAATGATAAAAAGGTAAATTAGAGGTTTTAGAATAGTATTTGAGGTCTTAAAAGTGGAAATGGCATGAAAATAATTTATTACAGAATTCTTTGTAAACAGAGTTTTGGGGAAAAACAGTAGAAAAAATTAGCTCGAAAAAATTATTTTAAATACATAGAGGCTTCAATAATTTTAAAAAAAATATGAGAAAATTATTTGAAGATTTTTTTGAGTTTATAAAATTATTCGTAAGCCCTGGAGGTGAAAGGATTAATTTTAGAATACTTATTACTAAAATCTTATCGATAAAGCTTAATTTTGAAGAAAATTCAAAATAAATAGTTACAAGTGCAGATAAATTCTAAAAAAATTCAGTTAATCTTAATATATTAAAATATTATTTTTTATGGAGATAAATAAATTTTTAGAGGTCTAAAAATATTATTAGAAATTAGAAAGAAATTTTAGCTGATACGGCAAAATTGAGTAAAAAAATGTTTGGAGATGTAAGGTGATGCTCTTTCCTTCTTTTTCCAGCCCATTGGCTATTATTTTGGGCCAAGAATGAATAGTAATTTCATGGTCAGTGTACATGGTTATGGAATAAAATAATGCAAAATATCACATGATTTTATCCAAAACATTATAACGTAAGGGACACTTGTACAATCTAAATTTCTGCAGCTTCTCAAGTTATCCACATGGCAGATTTTTAAGGGACACTTTGAAGGAAGAGGAGGCCAAATTGAAGTCTATAAATACCCCCTCTTACACCTTAAATTTTGGTTATTTTGGCACTTGAAAGGGGGAGATTTTGCTCCAGAAAAAGACTAAGTTGGGAGCCATTTTCATGCACGTTTGAAGCCAAAAAAACAAGAACCAATGATTAACCAAGGTATGTTAAAGCTTTAATTTGGCTATGTTTCTAGCTTGTTTCAAGTGGAGTTTAGTGACAAAAATCCTAAGGTTCATGCTATCCAATTTTTGAATTGATGAAGAATGACTAGGGAAGAATAGAAGCCATGATTTAGAGTTTGGAATAGCTTGCTTGGTTAATGTTTAGATTGAGTTTTGAAAGAAACTCCAAGTTCCCTAATTATTGTAATGTTTCAACCACTATGTGTTTATGGGGTTAGAAATTGATTCAGTTTAATTTGATGATTCTAATAAGTTTAGAATATGTTTTTATGTGGGAATACACCAGGAAAAAGTGTTTGAAATTATTAGAATCAAAAATAAAAATTTTAGAATTCTAAAGTATACTATTCGGCTAAATCAAATTGGAGGAAAAGGAGTATGATTTTGTCAAATATGATTTGACATTTGGATTCTGTATGAAAAATTATGTAGCAATAGCCTTGAGACTTGTCAAAACAAAGATAAAAATTAAAGTAAAAAAATCAAAGAAAGAGAATAAGGATAAACATTAAGGGATCAAGGAGGCCGAAACTTTGGATTAAAAGAGGTAGAATGGAATTTACAATTTCAATGTTAACTTGCTTGGTTGTTACATAATATGATTCCTTAAACATATGCCATGTTATATTTGAAATTATTTGATGATGATGACATGTGATTGGTTGCATTATGTGCCTTGGCAATATGCTTGGACATGTTAATTTTGAATGGATTGGATTGATACTTGCATGGCATAAATGTGAATAAATGTTTATGAACTTGTTTGTAACTTGCCTTGCTTGTTTGACATTATTATTATAATTCCTTTGCTATTGAGATTCCTATGATATCTCATTACCAATAGAACTTTTAAGTGGCAAGGAGATGGTATTTCCATAAAGGAAATATGTTATAGAATTATGTATAGAACTTTATGGACAAGTTTTGTAATATGTATAGACATGTGTATGGATGACTTTAAGAGTTGTAAATTATGAAGAATGACCTATTATATGATGTAGTATGTGGCTGAACCATATTGGAACAGTAGTGGTTTCATTTGGTTAAGTTTTGGCATGAAAAGGATAAAAGTTGACTTTTTGAGGGCAAAGTTTGACCATACAAAATTTTAAGCAAATGATAGAATTTGGATATAAAACTTAACAGTCCAATAGATCATATTTTTTTTGGTGAATAGTACAGGGCTCTAAGGCCTAATATTATTGAATCCTCACTGATCTTGGGAGAGCAACACCCACCCAATCAGCAAATAACAACCTTCTTACAACTTGGGGAGGACTTTCAAAAATCATCTCCTCCACATCTATCTTAAGACTATAGCTTGCAAGGCAATCTGCGACAGTATTGCCTTCCCTATATACATGCTGTATCCTAACATTCACAAATCTATCAAGTTCAGCCTTTACAATTTTCAGTAAGCTAGAGTTACAATCAAAATCATCAATTATACTATTTAGAATATTAACAACAACTAGGGAGTCACATTCCACAATCAAATGCTTGATCCTAGCCCTATAAGCCATCTGCAATCCAGATATCACAGCCCATATTTCAGCCTTTATAGCCGAGCAAGACCCTAGTTTTTTTGAGAATCCCCTGATCCATTTCCCATTGCACCCCCTTAACAGACAACACATCCAGCCAATCTATTCCCACCCTTTGAAGCTCCATCCGTGTTTAATTTCACCCAACCATTCTCTAGGACTTCCCATCGAATAAGCCTCTCACATCTCTTACCAACAAGCCCATCAGTGTAGCACAGAGTATTTCTAACTTTAGCTAGGTATCTTCTAACCACAGCACTTCTGTCATTTGGCATTTCAAAACCATTCTCAAATAAACTTTTGTTTCTCCAATTCCATAATAACCAGCAAGTAATTCCAAATTCAGCAACCTTCCTCTCATCTTTATTGCTCAAACACCATCTGAACCACTCTTTATCCTTCAGTAGGTAAAAGCTTGAGTTGTAATTACTCTCTCCTAACTGTCCCCATAGCTCTTTAGCACAAGTACAATCCTACAGAACATGCATACTAGTTTCAGGTTCCACGTTACATTTGTAACATAAAGCATTACCTCCCATTAGCCTGCTTCTCCTTTCTGCAATAAACAACCGGTTGTGACTAGCCACCCACAGGAACACTTGAACTCTTCTAGGCCCCTTCCAGTGCCAAATCTTCCTCCACAACACATCCACCTCACCATCCTCCTTTTTCAGTAAGTTGTACATGTCAGCCACACTGTACTTGTTCTATAATGCTGACCCCCATCTAATTACATCATCTGCATAATCAGCATTAGGAGGTGGTACAGCACGTATGATGTTCCTCCTTTTTTCCGAAACACACATGTCCAGCTTTGCATAGTCCCATTATCCATTATTATCCACCATATCCTTAACTCTACAATCCAGATTTATATTGTCAACCTAGACTGTACATTCATCTTCTAGTTTAACTCCTTTATCAACCCAATAGTCCCTCCAAAATCTAATTTTCTCACCATTTCCCACTTCCCAACACACAAATTGATTCACTTGGGGCCATAGACGAGCCACATTTTTCCAGACCTCAGAATCTGTGTTTTTGACACTACATTCATCAATTAGGGTCATACGTCTACTATACTTCCCTATTAAAACCATAGAACACAGGTTACTCTGCTTTGCAACTAAATTCCATCCTACTCTGCCTAAAAGAGCATCATTCATTACACCCAAATCTTTTAAGCCATACCCCCCCTTCTCCTTGCTTGTACACAATAAATCCCAACCAATAGCATGAACTTTTCTTCTTTCCTCATCACTATTCCAAATAAAGTCTCTGTGTAACTTTTCCAATTATTTCTTTACACCTACAAGTATAAAGGAGTACTGCATATGAAAACTTGTCAATTGGTTTGTCACAGATTGCACAAGAGTAAGTCTCCCTGCCAACGATAGATTCTGTTTTTTTCCACCCACTCAACTTATTTTGCATTTTATCAATTAAAAATTGAAACTTCTCCTTATTACTCTTCCCCTTCGTAATATAGGCACCCAAATACCTCCCTAAATCCTCTATTTTCCTGAAGCCTGTTAACTCACAAATCTCATTCTGCATTCTTCTCTCATTATTCTTAGAAAAGAAAACACTGGTTTTGTTTATGTTGATCTTTTGGCCAGATACATAACCAAACTTCTCTAGAACCTCAACAACATTTGTGGCCTGATCCAAATTTGCTTCACAAAATAATAAAACATCATCAGCAAACAACAGATGTGAGATAGCAGTGCCCTTTCTTCCCATTCTTATTGGATTCCACCTTTTCAAATTAACACTATCAACAATCAAATGTGTTAACTTCTCCATTCCTAGAACAAACAAGTAAGGTGACAGGGGGTCACCTTGTCTCAAGCCCCTTGTAGGTATAAAAGCCTCTCTTTTCACACCATTCCACATAAGAGCCAAAGTAGAAGTGCTAATACACATCTTAATGACCTTTATAACATGTTCATCCAATCCAATTTCATTCAAAACCTTTTCAACAAAACACCAAGACATTCTATCATATGCCTTTTCAAGGTCTATCTTTATTGCCATAAATCCCTTTTTACCACTCATTTTATTCATCGAGTGAACCATCTCTTTAGCAATTATTATATTATCATGGATACTTCTTTTAGGCACAAAACTAGTTTGGAAAGGAGAAACTAGTTTATCCATGATAGGTTTTAATCTATTCACAATCAGCTTTGTCAAACCTTTGTACAACACATTACACAGAGCTATGGGTCTGAATTGACTTACCAATTCTGGTCTTTCAACTTTGGGAATCAACACCAATAGCGTACTATTGATTTCCTGAACCCTTTCTGGATGCTCCCACAATTCAGCCAGTAACTTATACACTGAGTCCCCCACAATGTGCCAATTATGATGATAAAACACAGCTGGAAATCCATCTTCCCCTGGAGCCTTAAGTCCCCCCATTTGGAAAAAGCAGTCTTCACCTCTTCCCTACTAATTCTTCTGCCCATTCTAGATAAAACACTACTGTTGAAACTCCCCCAACCTTGATTAGTTGCAATCCAGCCCCTGTCAACAATTTCTTCTCTAAATAAAGAAGCATAAAAGTCTTGAAATAGATTGACAATCTGTGACTCCTCCTCTACCCACTTTCCTTCACTGTCTTTTAGCATTTTTATTCTATTCTTTCTTCTTCTTATCAAGGTTTTGGTATGATAATACCTTGTATTTCTATCCCCTTGGTCAATCCACCTCCCCCTCGATTTTTGAAACCATAGCATCTCTTCTTGCTTCAAAGTTTCCATCAATTCCCATTCTAGTTCTTTCTCAAGATTAATGAGGAACGGGTTTCCATTCCTATCCAGACTTCTCTGCACACCAAACAAACGATTCAGCGAATTTTTCTTTCTCACCTCAATCCTCCCAAAAACATCTCTATTCCACTGAATTAGATCAGGTTTTAAATTTTCCAGGCTTCTATGAGTTTCCATTCTGCTACTCCAACAATTTCTCATCATATCATCAAATTGATTATGCATCTGCCAAGCTGCCTCAAATTGAAACATCCTTCCTCTTGCAGGTTGGTTTTCAGGAAACAAATCAACTAGCATAGGATGGTGATCTGAACAAATTCTAGGAACAATTTTTACTTCAGCATTTGCAAACTTATATTGCCACTGATCATTTGAAAGTACTCTGTCTATCCTTTTAAACACTTTGTCCAAGCCTTCCCACTTTGGCCCTTTCCAAGTGAAAAAAGGACCCTTCGTATCAACGTCTATAAGATTATGATGTTGTATCCAATCACCAAATCTTCTACACCGTGCTTCATTTACTCTTCCACCTCCGTTTTGCTCCAAAGGTGTCTTTATCTCATTAAAGTCCCCAGCTATCATCTAGGGATCATGCACATTTCTTGCTAGATCGCCAAGTTTTTCCCTAAGACATTGTCTTCTTGCTTCATTCGGACTGCCATACACTACAGTAAGAAGGCATTTCTCCTCACCCCACTTCAAATAACAGTGGACAAATTGGTCATCCTTTACTAACTCCTCCACACATACACTTCCCATCTCCCAAATCACCCAAATACCACCAGAAAACCCCACAGCCTCCATTCTTATAGAGTTTTTAAAACCCCAAGACTTGATAACTCTATCTGCAGCATTACCACTAATTCTTGGCTCAATAATAACCACAACCTGAAATCTATATCTACTTTTAAAGTTTCTTAAGGCAGCAGCAAAGCCTTTACTCGCTGCCCCTATGCTATTCCAAATTAAAATCTTCATAGTAAAATTAATTCAGAGTAGAGAGTCTGACCTAGCCTCAGTCAACAGCCAAATCTGGAGTTATCACACTAGCTTCAACATTCATCTCAGTGCACTTAATAGGATCTTCATCCAGCTCAAAATCTTCTCCAGGATCCAACATTTCTCTTCCCTTTTAAAGCACTCTTTTGTCACCAGGATCCACATTCTCCTTCTCCACCATCACCACTTCACGCCCTCTGTTGTTCCCCGAATCATTTAAGGGGACTATCTCATGAGTGTAAGTCAGATTTTTTCTTCTCAGATTACTCACCTCTCCATTATAACTTTCCACACCACTTTTCAACCTAGGCATCCTCTCCCTCCTCACCACAGTCTTATTTTCTAGCATCATCTTTTTTTCCAACAGACCCTTATTTTTTCCATTAGGAATTTTAACATTCTCCTTTTGCTGTCTTCTCTTCTTATTCACAAAATTTCTGTTCTGTGTTTGCTGTTCAGTGTTAGTCTCATCTAGGGCCCTATTAACAAGACCACCCTCTTGAATCTGCTCACCCTCCATAGGCTCTTCAACTTGTAGAACAGAGAATCTCGATCCATTCTGCTGAAATTGATCACTTCTCCCACTCCTTCGTATCCGTCTAGGTCTCTGGACAGTTCTCCACAGTTCCCTTTCTTCATTCTCCTTAATCCCCTCTCCTTCAACTCCAGAAACCACAATCCTTTCCCCCATTCTATCTTCCGTATTCTGTTTATTACCAACACCCACGCACTTTTCTCTCACATGTCCAAACTTTCCACATTTTTTACACAGAAGTGCCATACTCTCATATTCTACACTTAAAACCTGTCCTTCCACATCAAATTCCGGCACAAGAGGCTCTGTTAGATCAAGTTCAATGCACATTCTAGCAAATTTGCCTCTTGTTCCTTTTGCTGTGTGTATATCTAGCCTAATGGCTTTACCAATGGCATTACCCAGGTTTAGTAAAAATTTCTTATCAAAGAAAGGGGTAGGTAATTCAGGAAACATTACCCATGCTACTATCGATTCAATTGTTGCATTTCTGGGATTAAATTCAGGCCGCCACCTTACTACATTCAGATAGGAGTCCATAACAACCCACGGACCCCCAGTTAACGCCTCCATGTAGTCCTCCGTGCTCTAAAAACTGACTAGGAAAAAATCATTGTCCAAATCAAAAATTTCAATATCACCTTTCCTCTCCCAGAGCTGTTTAAACTTCTTCACCATAAACCCATAGTTCAGTTGTCTTCCCAACAATTTTACAATCAGTGACTTGCTAAAAGGTCTCATCAACCTTTCTTTCTCCTTCTCATCAATTCTAAACTTCGGACAGAGTGGATTGACAAATCAACTGTAATACCTTCAGAAGGATTAAGTACCTTTTCAAAGTCAACTCCATCACCATAGTCGTCTCCTTCCTCCTCGTCTTTAGACTTCGACCAATTCCACCAGTTCGTTCGTGAATTAACATTGCGCATAAGAGATTCCCGATAAGACTTGGGAGAACCTTGCTCTTCGTCTTCAACCATCCAGTTCTCTTCTCGAGTCTTGAGGTTCTCATCGCCAGTGAATCCTCCCCCCTCTACACGCACCTTCTTTTTTTGCCTATTCGGACCCTCAGTCTCGTCTTCCATCCTCCAATCCCCAATTTCACCAATCCTCTTCGTAGGGCACGAATCGAGGATCTCTCTTTTCCTTCGCCGCAGTGGGCGATGGAGTTCTCTCACTAGCCGCCCTTAAAGACGGAGTCGCAGCGAACAGGGAGCCCTAGCAAAGCTCGGGCAGCAGCGTTCTAACTAATAAATCATATTTTTATCTTCAAAACAAGTAGTATTTTATCAAAGTTAGAGTTTTTTATAAAGAGTTATGTCCTCCCAAAGTTGGGCACAAATTTTGAAAAATTAGAAAAATGACCAAATAAATAGTACATCTTGATAATGAAATTAGGCTCACATGAGCTAAATTCATACTTTGAACATATTTTTTTTTCCTTAAAGAGCTCATTGCAAGCTTCGAGTAGGACTTAGAACTATATCATTTCAATATTTCTAGAATTAGTTATGATTTTTTAAAGTTTGGAGAAATCTATGGTTATAATGAATAGTAACCCGAGAGAGTAAATTTAAAAATTTAAATTTCTCCAACTTAATGACTTGTGAAATGGTTCCAAATGATACGTAAATTTACACCAACTTGCAACAAGATAAAATTATACATCCATTTACAAGTAAACTAATTTAATTCACAAATTGAACACAATGATTTAAAAGTATA